CAGCACAACTCCATGAGATATAAATGATGCCCAATTCTCTGAAAATAATTTGCAGTAATCCAGAATTATCATTAAATCTATTGTACTATTTTATGGGCTCATTTTCTTTCATGGCTGTTACCACATTAATGCAGTGACTTTCTTCTGATGAAACAGTGCCTGTTTTATTTTCCAGCTGAGCTGTGTGTGCAGTCTGACAGTTTTATGTCTAAGCATTCAGTAGAGATATGTTTCCCACTTTGCAAGTCTCCAGGCCTCTTCTGTGGTGTGTAATAAGATAGAGGGATTGCTCTTCTTTTTTTTTTTTTACACAGACCGACTATAGCTCAGTAGCAGACAAACTTGTGTGTAAAAAGTTGGAGTGTAAATTGTGGGAAAAGTACTTCTTACTGCCTGGAAGCAGGATGTGTTGGTCCCAGACAAAACATACCAAAGGATTCCATGTGATTTGTCTCCTATGTGCTGTGTTATCTCATCCTGTTGCCTCTGTTGTCTTTACTCTAACCTTAATTCAAAGCAGTAGACAGCAGAATGTGCTCTGCAGCCTACACTATGTATAAAACTGGAGGACATACATTTTCTGCTGCTTAGAGATGCTTTGTTTGTTTCTTCTTCTTTAACCTGCCTCGCAGTGAAGCAGTTCTGCTGCGAAGAGGCAAGCAGTCTCATCTGTAGACATTTCCCTGTCTCTTAATGGCCATAGGATGAGATATAGGCAAGCCATGAAGTAAATGATCATGTTAGTGGATTAGTTTTGGTTGCACTGGGTACAAATTATTAAAAGGTATTACGTGTTCAGGCTCCTTCTCAGTATTTGATTGACTGCATGACCTGCATTAAGAACACAACAATATCTCACTTCTACTGTCTTTTTCCATTGTAGAATGGTTAAATGAAAGTTTGGAAATCCTTGAGTTGTTGCAGCTGCTCCAGCCTTCATTTAGACAAACAAACAAACTACGTCACGCTCTGTCTCCAGAGTTTCTCAATATGAGGTTCTGTCAGAAAAGGTAATTGTGTGACAGTCTAAGCTTATAATTTACACAAGCTTTACTTTATCTACAAAATGAAGGTCTTTATGTAAACACAAACTACTCTGCTACATACTGAGAGAGAAAGTAAATCACCTACACTGAGTGA